GACAGACTAGGGACAATGTGGGCCCCCTCCGAAAGCTATCAAGAGAACTGGCTATCCTGGATTTGGAGGAGGCTGAGGTTCTGAATGACTTCTTGCCTCGGTCTTCTCTAGCAAAGGCTTTGACCACACCACCCAAGTCTTGGAAGGCAGACGCCAGGACTGTGAAAATGAAGACCTTTGGCCCACTGTAGGAGAGGCTCTGGTTTTAAACCATCTTAAGAGCCTGAACATGCACAAGTCCGTGGGACCTGATGAAATCCATCCATGGGTCCTGAAGGAGCTGCCGAATGAAGTTGCTAAGCCATTGTCCATCGTATTTGAAAACTCATGGCAGTCAGGTGAAGTTCCTGCCAACTGGCAAAAGGGAAATATAACCCCCATTTTCAAAAAGGGGAAAATGGATGACCCAGGGAACTACAGACCAGTCAGTCTCACCTCTGTGCCTGGCAAAATCTTGGAGCAGATTCTCCTGGAAAGCATGCTGAGGCACATGAAAAACACCAAGGTGCTTGGTGACAGCCACCATGGCTTCATTAAGGGGAAATCCTGCCTGACCCATTTGGTGGCCTTCTATGATGGGGCTATGGAACTGATGGACAGGGCTAGAGCAGTTGATGTCATCTACCTGGACTTGTGCAAAGCGTTCGACAGTGCCCCACACGACATCGTTGTCTCTATATTGGAGAGACATCAATTTGATGGATGGATCACTCAGTGGATAAAGAACTGGCTGGATGGCTGCATCCAAAGAGTTGTGGTCAATGGCTCAATGTCCAGCTGGAGACCAATAACAAGTGGTGTCCTTGAGGGATCGGTGTTGGGACAGGTCTTGTTCAAAATCTTTGTTGGTGACATGGACAGTGGGATTGAGTGTGCCCTCGGTAAGTTTGCCGGTGACACCAAGCTGTGTGGTTGGGTTGATACGCTGGAGGGAAGGAATGCCATCCAGAGGGACCCTGACATGCTTGTAACATGGTCTGATGCCAATCTTCTGAATTTTATCCAGGGTCCTACAAGGACCTACACCTGGGTCGGAGCAATTCCAGGCACAGCTACAGGTTGGGCAGAGGAGAGATTCAGAGCATCCCTGTGGAGAAGGGCTTGGTGGTGTTGGTCGATGAGAAACTTAACATGATCCAGCTTCAGTGTGTGCTCGCAGCCGAGAAAGCCAACCATATCCTGGGCCGCATCAAAAGGAGCGTGACCACAGGCCGAAGGAGGTGATGCTGCCCCTGTACTGTTCTCGTGAGACCTCACTTGGGGTATTGTGTGCAGTTCTGGTGTCCTCAATATGAAAAGGACATAGAACTGTTGGAACAAGTCCAGAGAAGGGCCACGAGGATGATCAGGGGACTGGAGCAACTCCTGTATGAAGATAGGCTGAGAAAGTTGGGGCTGTTCAACCTGGAGAAGAGAAGGTTGCATGGAGACCTCATAGCAGCCTTCCAGTATCTGAAGGGGGCCTGTAAGGATGCTGGGGAGGGACTGTGGTGATAGGGAAAGGGGCAACAGGTTAAAAATTAAACAGGTGAAGTTTAGATTGGATATAAGGAGGAAGTTCTTTACTGTGGGGGTGGTGAGGCACTGGAATGGGTTGCCCAAGGAAGTTGTGAATGCTCCATCTCTGGCAGTGTTCAAGGCCAGGTTGTACAGAGCCTTGGGTGACATGGTTTAGTGTGAGTTGTCAATGCCCATGGCAGGGGAGTTGTCACTAGATGATCTTAAGGTCCTTTCCAATCCTAACTCTTCTATGTTTCTATGATTCCGAGCACAGAAATGAGGGTGATGCAAATGGGGTTTATGTGTCAGTGCAGAAACCATAATAAAACCACATAAAGAATTTCCTAAACCTCTTAAAGAGGGAGGCAAATGATTTAACATGAAGAAGTAATAATTAGATAAACATGTAGACTCAGTAATATAGAGTGAAAATTAGGCAAACAGTAGTGGGGGGAGGAGACAGGTTAAAAATAAACAAAGCCAGCAACTGAGCTGCCTTGAAATTTTAGCATTTCATTAACATTTCTGAAGTTAATTTTTTTAACTGAATAGTTAAAAATACTGAATAGCAAAGTTAGAATTGAACATAAATTGCTTTAAACAATGCCTGGAGTCATTAGCATTACCCGTAAACAAGTTTGTGTTTTTTTAAATATATGGTTGGCAGAATGCATGAACTCGGGGATGAGTTTCTGATGGTTTTTTTACTTTTCCTGTAGCTTGGAAAATTATGATAATTTGTTGTAGCCTTGTACTGAATCAGCATCCCTAAGGGGAAAGGACAGTGTAGTGAATCTTTTGAAGTATTTTGAATCCCAAAATGTTGCTTTGAATTCTTAAGTCTCCTAAGTATGTGTTTACTGTGGATACTGTGTTGCCTTTTGAAAGTTACAAATTAAGTAGTATAAAATCCAAGTATTTTGTTACCAAACTCTTGAGTGCACAGGGGCCCCGATGTTGTATTGTCTATATGTATTAGGTTGGGAATTAATTCAATGCAGCAGTCTTCCCTGATTCCTTTTGAAAATGGTATCCCTTCAAGGTGGAGCAACAGGTAAACTAAACTCCTGTGGGTGCTCTCACATGTATAAGGAGTTAATAGGTTTATGCTCTTCTCAAGGTAATACTGAAAATAGTCAAAGGGTTCAGAGCTGCAAACAAGGAAGCTAAAAACCAGATATACAGAATTATGCTGTCAAATGGGAAAAGCCCAAGAGGTTCAGATAGCTTCATATGGTAGCTGCCTAACATACTAATATTCCTGTTAGGCAAAAAGGAAGTGTAATTTTTTATTTTTTCCCAAAGGGCCATTGTTGGGCTGTTAGTAAATATACTAGTTTTCTAGCTCCTATTTTCCTTGTTCTGCAGTCCACCAATAGTCTTCAAATCTAGCTCTTTCTTTCAAGCCTGTATTGCATACCTCTTACAGGTTTCTGTCCTTGGGCTGATTGTGTAACCCAGTTTTGGAATTCTATACTTACTTCCATAGCTAATTATGTACAGCAAGACTTTTTTTTTTTTTTTTTTTTTTTTTTTTTAGTTTCTGATAGTATTTCTAATTAGTCTAGGTGTCTAGAGCTCTCATGACAAAATATTCAAAGTTTATCCTCATAAAGGTTTGGAAAATCAAAACAAAGGAGTTGAAACTCAATTCTGAACCACAAGACAATGCAGCAAAGAGGCATGATTCTCCCTCCACTACCACCACTGTCTCTATTCACTATTCTTATACATAATCCAAAAAAAAAACTATACCTGGCTGTAATGAAACAAGGATAGAATTAATGGGGAGAATGCCTTTGTGAAATGTCATATCTATAAATGGGGATATGAATAAATGTGGACAATGATGCAAATACTTCAGGAACACAAAGAAACAGAATCTTATTTGGACCTATGTATCTCTTTCCATCTCTGTTTTCCCTTTCTTCCATCTGGAAATTCCTGTTCTCTAGCCTCTGCTAATTTTGCTTTTAGTAGCAACCACTAGAGATGTAAAGATTACATTTCACCTGCAAGTGACCAGTGAGGGGCCCTAATTATTCCATATTTTCTCAAAGTATTTTTCCTGAGGAATGTTTACGGCCATTTTCACTTGTGCTTGGTCGTGAAGGTCTCATTGAAACAACTTCTTTATAGAAGGTGTTTTGAACTTTATTTTCCCTCAGATGCTGGTTTTGAGTTTCATTATTTGTGTTTTCCCATTGTGGCAATCAAGTTTTACACAAATACTTTTTGTTCCTGAAAATTACATCATAGATATGTCGCATTTGGGTCTTGCTCAGTTCTGCCTAATGAAAAATTAAAACGCCAAACAAATAATTTATATGGAGAAATAGTGAGCTGTGGTTTGGATACTTTAGTAGAATTGAAATATACAACACATAGTTTGAAATTTGGTATTTGGATGTAAGAAAGGAAATTTGTCTTATGAAGATAGGATGCTGGAGAGGGTTTCTTCCTCAGGGGCTTTAGCAATAAGACAAGGGGTGATGGGTTCAAGCTAAAACAAGGGAAGTTCAGGTTAGATGTAAGGAAGAAGTTCTTTACTGTGAGGGTGGTGAGGTGCTGGAATGGGTTGCCCAAGGAAGTTGTGAATGCTCCTTCCCTGACGGAGTTCGAGGCTGGGTTGGACAGAGATTTGGGTGACATGGTCTAGTGTGAGGCATCCCTGCCCATTGCAGTGGGGTTGGAACTGGATGATCTTAAGGTCCTTTCCAACCCAGGCCGTTCTATGATTCTATGATTTTTTGTGTCTTCTGTAAACTACATGTTTTAAACCAAACATAACCATTTATTTTTTATTGCCAGAGTGTTTAAGAGGTCATAAGATCAGATTTTCAGTCTTGTCTTGCTTTTGACTTCAAACCCAGGTATTTAAATACTGCATCTATAAATGTCAGTAAAAATGACTAGCTTTGTGGTATAATGCAGTATTATGCTCAATCCCATGATGCTGCCAATTTTCATTTAAACTCAACTTTTTCAAAACTTATTTCTAAATGAACTTAATCAGATTAAGTTCATTTAGTCACATCTGCTCATGATTTTTTCCTCTTTTACTAGCCATACAAATCATGAAATTAAGCTAATTATATACCATTATCAGCTGCAAAGAACTAGTTTCACAGTTTTATACCTTTTAATTCCCTGCAGGAGATTAAGGCTTGTTTTTTGTTAATATGTAAAGTGCAGTAACTTAAATGGATTTCCCTGCAGTTATTGCCAAAGGATTAACTAGTTTATTATTGTTTTTCTCTATTGTAAATTGGTTTTAAAACATTACATTTGATGTGGTTTCATTGATGGCAATGCTTTTCATGCTATTGAGAAACATTTTCTAAATGGAAACTGCTATATATGAGTAATTGTTATACAGCTATATAGCAACACAAATAACTGTGCTGTCAGAGTATTTATTGATGGTGACATCTGATTTTTGTCTTCTCTGCTCCTCCCTCTCTTCTGGGGGGCTTGGGGGGAGCACCTCCCTCACACAGGTGACGATGAGCAGAGTGATTGGTTTCATGAAAATGAATCTGGTGGAGCATGTGGAATTACTGGAGTCATTCCATGGTGGGAACAAGAAGACGCTACAGAACTTGAAAGAGAATTGCCTGATCCCGTCTTCGAAAGTATCTTAACTGGGACTTTTCCTCTCATGTCCCATTCAGGGAGAAGAGGTAAGAAGCAATCAAGCAAATGCAAACTGTAGAGTCATTTGAGTACAGTAGAAGGATATCTATACATATAAAATATGAAAAATGCTGACAAGATCTTGGAGTTACCAGTTTGTTCCCCTGAACAATTTCATTTGTAAGTATCATTAGACAGAAATAGTTTTTAAAACTCAGTTGTTAGAAAAGTCAAATTTTAAAACTTGGCTCATTTTTATAGCCTGCTCTTATTTGTATTGATGTTTCCATTGAGAATAGCTTTATTTGAAGTGAATCTTTGTATCCTGTTTTGTTCCTGGCTCCTGTGATAGTGTTTAGAGTTCTATGGAAGTTTGTTAATTCAAAAGCTGGAGAGTAGTGTGACCATCTGCTTTGCTTTATGGTTAAGCAGAGTGGTTTGTAGAGAAGGTGGAAGGGTTCCTTTAGAGCAAGGATTGAGATTCAGAAAATATCTTGGGTGGTTTTTTTTCTTAAAAATATTTTAGACAGCTGTGGGTCCAGTGTATCCAATGTTAAGTTGCAGCAGAGTTAGATTGCATTTACAACTGGGAACCCAATCTTATCTAAAGACTGAAGTTGGCAGACCTCAGCTTGCTGCCAGAGAGTTTTGTTGTACCTTCCCTCTGCCACAAGGATCTCTTTTAACATTCAAACACAGATCTTTTATGTGAGCAGTGGTCAAATCACTTTTAAACTGCTCTGCACAATGTAGTGATTTATTTTGTGAAGCTTATTTATGAAATGCTTGAAATTGTTTCCGAGGACTTGGTCTCCAGATTTAACGTGGTTTAAAAATCACCAGATTTAATGTGGTTTAGTTCTAATAAAGTTGTAAGTGATGCAAAAAACCTTTCCTACTGATCAGTGTGCTCTGCTTGTGCAGCCAACTGTGCGTAGAACCAGGATGGCAGTAAGAATATCTACAGAAATCCTAATTTTTATAACAACTTATTTCTCTCACTTTCCCCATTGTGCTTTGTTGCCACCAATACAATTGACTAGATTAAGATGTTTTTATGGAACTGGTCAGATTAATAGATTGGTATGTAATGGTGAATGTTACTGGTTTTGTGGTATAGACAATGTTCTTAAACCAGTTTGTACTTCTTATTTTTAGGTTTCCAAAGTAGATTTAGTCATCTTCATGGAATGCCAGCAAGAAACATAAAAAAGGCTTCAGGAAACCAGAATGCATTGGTAGGTGCTTTTATTATTGTTGGCTAATGTGCACAGTTGTTAGAGGTATTTGGGTTTGCTTTTTGTTTTAAAAAAGCATATTTCTCCCATCCTTGTTTCCTAACGTTGTAGATAGGTAATGGAATGGTAAGGCCACAGTGCCACTGCTGCTGGTTATTACCTCTTTTGTAATGGAATACTTGTGTGTACTTGAATGGCAGAAAGAGTTGGATATTGTCTCTCAGTACTTATTTTGAACTGAGGGAAGGGAAAGCTTTGGGGGAGCATTATTAAAAGCTTTCAATGTGGATCTTATGTCTATATGAAAACATGTTTAAAATGAAAATCAAGCCAAAGTTAAATGTGAAGTTTTTCTCACACTGAAAGCATTTTAGGATGGATTTATTTTGATTTCTTTTTCTCCTAAAAGTCTGCTTTGAAAAATCTGTCCTTACTGTCTTGTCTGGGTGACTTCTGTGTGGTCAGGTAAAGGGTCTATAGAATGTGATTTTCCCATAGCTGTTTTCTAAAATAAGATTATAATGAATTTATAAGAATTTGTTCTTCAGAAGAGACTTCTCAAATTAAAGCATTTAAATGTGTTCATTTAATTATATAAATGTTAATAATTTTTATTAGATATATATTAAATATATAAAATTATATATTAAAATATATATTTATAAATATTAATTTATTCATGCAGTCTATTCCTTTCTTCTTGCGATACTGTTTAGAACAGAAGGAAGCAGGATGTGGGAAACTCTATATCATTGTATAATAAACCTGCTTCAACCTGATAAATACTGCAACATCAATGTTCTTTGTATTTGAGAAAATTAAATGGTTTCCAATTTTAATTTACCTTAAAGTAAGATGCTTCAGAGAAATATAAGAGAATTATGCTCAGAGAATAGAAATGAACTGTGAGAAATGTAACTTGTTTTGAAGAAGGAAGGGCTTTATCATTGAAGTCCCTGTCCAGTAATTGCCATTTGGAGCTGAATAAGATGCTTTAAAACCTTGGCCTGTGATCTTTGTTGTTAGTGGTCATGAATTAGATGAATGCTATCTAGTTCTTGGTTTCCTACCTACCTATTTTTATTTTTGGTTCAGTGCTTGCTTGAGCATATCTGGGATTTGTAGCCCATTTTCTAGGCTTATTGCGATTTCACTCTGGTATTTTATAGAAGCTATTATAACTGATAGGTTAGCTTCATGGTGTTGATGATACATAGCTTAACTACCCTAAAAACTGCCCTTCTAAATTGTAAAGGGTGATTAAATTTCAATTGATAAAGATATACTGTGAATGGGTTTATATAATGAAAAAATCCCAATGTTTATTTTCTGCTACTCTTTCTGAATTTTCCTTAGGAGCCTATTTTTTCTTCTAGCCATGATATCTCATACTAAGATGAGTAAAGATGGCATCGTAGTTCCCTTTATAACAAAAGTGCAAGCCAATCTACTAAAGACTACTGATTCAGTTACCTCGAGTTACTAAAATATCATTTACATAGTCTAGTGAAACAAGGTTGTCCTGCAAACATAGCTTCTAAGCCACTGTGTTTAGGCAGGAGTGTGCATATAGAATGGATGTGCAGCTGGCTCTTCACATGCAGTTTTCTGACCTTCTTAATGTCTATTTATGTTTGTGGGCACATTTGCTGCATCCATCATTGCAAACATAGCTATATAAGCCAGAGTTCATGTGCTTCCTTTTCTTAGTGGTTGCTTCTTAAAGAAAATCTTCTTTTAGGTCCTTTAATCCAATGACAAAAAAAAAAAAGTCGTTTTATACCTGTGACATCTGATAACAAAGAACAAGAAGTAATTACTGCTATTAGATTGTAACAGTGAAGAAAAGCAAGGATGCTTTTAGAAAGATTAATATCCTGAGGAAAGAACACTGCAGACTCAACTGATTGAACAGAGTTGTGCTGTGACTTAATTCTTTTTTTAGCAGTGAGGAGTCTGATGTCTGTGTCACTGCTTTTACACAGACTTGAAAGACAAAGTAAAAAATGGAGTTTCCTACTGAGATACCCTACCTAAAAGACACACATTATATCCTGCATTTGGCCTAAGGATGTGTAGTTTGTATCTAGGAAATGTGAGCATATAGTTACCTCTTTGCATACAGGCAATGTGTGTTTAAACTTCTTTGGGGAGTTTAATTGAAGTTTCGCAACTACAGCAGCTAGTGGAGCCTTGAAGTGATTACTGGTTTAGGGAAGGCAAAATGAATAGCTAGGGTAGATAATACCTTGATATATTGTCATCCTCTGTCAAAAAATGTTTAATGCCAAACTGTTTGGTTGATTTCGTGTGAGAAACATCAAGCCAAGAGTGTGATTATTACTTGCTATAGACTAAGGGAACTGCCAACTTACATTGTTTTCACACCAGAAGCAGTGGGAGCTGAGAACAGGGGGCAGGATGCTGCTCTTCATAGACCAGTTAGTGAACTTATTTGTAGTATACACAGCTGGCACTCAGATTCTGTCCAGATGCTTTTCCTGAATTTCACTGATGAGTTGCTTCATTTTAACAAACTCATGGGTCTTTCTGTCATCAGGCATGCTACCTTTGAGTCAAAACGTTCTTTTAATGATCATACACTGGACAAGCGAGAGAGAAGTAAAAACCTGGCACGCAAATGCTATGAAAAATCTAATGTGCAGAGTGTTGCCATATAGCAGATGACAACTGAAAAGGAAATGTAAAAAAATTCATTGCAACTGGTTTATACTCTTTGGATTATCCAGTTTACTAAAGAAAGGCACGTTTCTTATGGAATCTGTCATTAAGTGATTTGTCAGGTGTGTATTTTGGCATACAATTACAATGCCAGCTTTTCATGTCTTGATTTCTTTATTTTGTGGCAGCATCATTTGGAGCAGAACTTTATTTGAAAAGAAATAGAAAAACATATTTTCTAATGTACTATGCTTTTGATCGCACCTGTGTCAAGTTGCTAGTAGCAATCAGAAGCATGATACAGATACTTTCATACCATACCAGTAAGTGCCAATGTACTTTTAATAAGGTATTTTACATGAAGTCTTACTGTGCCTGGTTAAATTGTGCATTTACATAAGACCTGATCAACTATTCCTAACCCCTGAATCCTTTTGTTAGGTAAAAATTCTACATTTTAAAGATAGTATTCTATGAATGAAATGCAGATTTCTTAGAAGGAATGCTTTTTTCTTCATCTTTTTTCTGCATGTGTTTATAGACTTGCATGTCATCTAGTGCTGTATCTGTCCTTCCAACAAATTACATGTGAAACTTCAGTATTTAGAAGAATCAAATTGGAAATCTCACATTTTAAGTTCACTGGAAATGTGACTGTTCATTTCTGTGATGTACAACACTAGATAAACTCTACCTTCAAATGATGAAGGCTGCCATACTTTTTTCAGATGGATTCCTGGGAACATCACAACAGTCCTAATGAAAGAAAGTAAGAGTTCATAATTCTAGTTAGTGAAAATAGAACGTGACTACTTTTCATTTCTTTCAAAATGTTTTGGCCAATTTAGTACTTGATTGAAAAGTTCCACTTTTGTTCACTACAACTCCATACAAATAAGTGAAAGGGCTAAAAATGAGCCCTGCTGTCTTAGCTGTTCCTTGTGTGGTTCTGTTTAGAGTTCCTTGTCTGAAACAAGGAGAGACACTGTAGGGTTTTGTTTGAGGACTCTTGCTTGTCATCTTCCTGCCTGTATTCCCTGTCTAGGCTGTGATTTCACTGAGGCGAAGTGTGAAAAACATGAGCAATAAAAAGGATGCTTTCATTTGATTCTGCCAAGTTTTCCACCTTTATGTCATGGGTTTTGATTTCATGGTATTAAAGACAGCCTATTTGAAGTCTTGCACTCCTAGGATTGATTTGTTTCTTCTTGCACAGCTGGACTACTGAGCTTGACTATACATAGTTGTAACTACTCAAAAAGTAAGTAACGAAAGCTACATTTGTGAGACCTGTTATCTGAAGGTATCTGTATTTCTGTCAAATTCTGTGACTCCTTCTCCAAAGTTCAGAGAGCTTTTCTCAAAAATAAAATGTGTTGTTGGGTAACTACTATATCGACATGAGAAAAGATATGTTGAGCACTTCTGCTTTTTGTTTACTGCTTTCAAAATGTAAAATCAAACCTTTCTGTATCTAAATTCTTTCTAACTGAAGAAATGGGTATGTTCAGGATTTCTTTTTTTCTTGTCAAAATATTTTGGAAAAAGAGTGAAAAGGTATTAGGTGATAACCCTTGTTACAGGCAATGTTCCTTAGAGTAAGTAAGCGTAAGGCAGTATTGGTCAGATGCCTTCTTATGGATGTTCTGCAACTTTTGAAAGAGCACCGTGTCTCAAGTTAAAGTTGATTTGGTGTTTTGGAGAATTCTTTTACACTGGATGTGTGGCATGCAGTCAGATAAAACACAGTTCAGTTTGTGAGGTGTATGAAATCTCTGGGGTTTTAATTAGTTTCTACAGTCAGTAGCTATTCTTGTTTGAAGCATAGACTTTACCCTCAAAATCTGTGGAAATGTGAGTGGTATTAGATGATGTCTGATAAGAAAACTAAAGTCTTGTTGGATTCCACTTTCACTCATTCAAGGTCAGGAACATTAGGTCTGTGTCTGAGGAGGGTGTTTTGAAACCTTACGCTGCTAAGGCCACAAATTTATTTCCCTTTAATCGGGTAGGAGAGTAGGGGCTTGTGGTTTTTGTGATCACAGTATCACAGTATGTTAGAGATTGGAAGGGACCTCAAAAGATCATCTAGTCCAATCCCCCTGCTGGAGCAGGAACACCTAGATAAGGTTACACACGAATGTGTCCAGGTGGGTTTTGAATGTCTCCAGAGGAGACTCCACAACCTCCCTGGGCAGCCTGTTCCAGTGCTCTGTCACCCTCACTGAGAAGAAGTTTCTTCTCAAGTTTAAGTGGAACCTCTTGTGTTCCAGTTTGTACCCATTGCCCCTTGTCCTATCATTGTTTGCCACTGAAAA